CCCCACCCCCGGACCCCTTCCCGCGGGTTGGCAGACAAAGGCCTCCAGGCCGCCGGCTCCCGGCCGCGCGGGGCCACGCCGTGCGGACCCTCGGGTGCCCAAATGGCGCATCTGGGAGCGCCCAGCTGGCGGGCCCTCTGTCAGGTAGCATCGCCGCTAATCCGTTTTGCGCGCTTCTTTTGTGCGCGACTCGGTGCCAAGATGTTTACATGGATCGAGCGATGCAGTGTTCGGGCGGGCGCAGCATCCCTCGGTTGGCTGTGGACAGCACAGATTTCTTCGGTGTTGGAGCCGGGATAAAATCTGGCCCTGCGTACTCCCTGTATGACCTTGTGGGTAGCGACTTCCCTTTTCGGAGCCTCATTCATCCACTTTGAACGGTGGTGATAGTCAGACCTACCTTTTATCGTGGTTTTTTAATGAGATGATGTGCGGGGAGCAGTTACTCAGGGCCCTGCTCTTAGGAGGCGCGCAGTCAATGTTAACCGTCATTGTCATCATTATTATTACTGTTGCCACAGCTGTCCCCATTTTATAGATGGGGAATGGAGAGACAGCATTCATGTCGCCACGCCAAGGTCACACCGTGAGTGCGTGCGTGTGTGCCGGGTGGAGATTGGAACGAGGTCCATCGCCAGGGCCCCGCTTGCCACCAGACCATAATGCTGTCCCTGTTTTCCAAGGCCGTCTCTGATTCGTGTCTGCCTGCCTTTGAGTCTCTGTGAAGCTGAGGGGTTGTTTCTCTCCTTGTAGGTGGCCTTCCCTTATGAAACACTACAGCCCCACCGACTACGTCAATTGGTTGGAAGAATATAAAGTTCGGCAAAAAGCTGGGTTAGAAGCCCGGAAGATTGTAGCCTCGTTCTCAAAGAGGTTCTTTTCAGAGCACGTAAGGATCTGTTGGTGTAGCTCTAAGCTTTGGCCTGGTAGTGTACGCGCTGGGTTTGTAGGCATTAGCTCATCCAGCTCTTTTTGATATCTCCCTTTTCAGTGCTCTCAAAATCCCTAACTCACTCACATGGCAGCGAGAGTCATTGTGTCCTTCTCCTCCTATACAACAACATGAAGCCATTTGTCCCTGCCAGCTTTACTTTTGTAAAGCCAGAGAGAGAATGGGGGATGGGAATGGAGAGAGTAGGGACTGACACGCAGCACAGTTTAGAGTGAATCCGAATCCAGATCAGAATTATTTCTCTTTAAGTGGGTTAAACGTATTTTTTGTAAGCTCCACATGATTTGAGGAATCATCAATGATTGAACACTGTAAATTTCTCCCAGTTGTTTTTCCAGAAGGGTTGATGGAAACTAATGTCCTTCTCTCTGGCTTTGCAGGTTCTACCAAGTAGTGAACTACATTATTTGTTAAGGTAATAGGATTAAAAGCTAGCTATAAATCAGAATTACTACTTCCTCAAATAAAATTGTACTGCATTTAGTATCCTTGAAAGTTTTTTTGTTTTAAATGTTGCTGAAATCCTTAGTGTTTTTTTTTTCCTTCCCCAGAATGTCTCATGGAAGTTTCTGTATCCACTTCTGATTTCTAACTTTTTGTAACTCTGGAAAATAGTCCACCGTAACATTTTAAATTCATCAACTATTAGATACTTCTTTCTGATTGGGGGTCTAGAAATAGAGCCAATCTGATTTTTTTTTTTTAAACTATCCTGGCTTACTGAAGATTACTTCCCATTTTCTAATTTTAATTACTGAGTTAACGGAGTGCATATATTTGTAATGTTTTCAAGTCTTTTTAAGTTTTGAAAGGGAAAATTTTAACTTTGGACAGATTTGAACTTACTTCTCTATGGGTAATAAAAAGACATTCCCTAGTGTAATTTGTTTCTGTAAATGTTTATTAGTGTTACAATGAACAAAATTTATGTTCTCCTTTGGAGAAGCCGTGCCATGGCTAAAAACATTCATAATCACAGATCATAAATACTGGTTTAAATATGTTTGTACACACATATATTTTGGCTCTAGATATGTTGGATGCAGTTGGTCATGGCTTACTGGTTTGTAACCTCTACTTCTAGTCCAGCTGGTTTTGTGTGCATTTTTAACAGTGTGTGCCTTTGTCTAATAATGATGAATTGTTGTGTTTTTTTCCTTAGCTCCCTCTTTCCCTATACCACTGCTTAATTAGAAGTATGTTAAGAACTTTGAATATAGCAGAGCATACTTAAAATTGGTCTGTGGGTGGGTGATTGCTTTAGCCCAGAACCCTTGTAGTTCCTGTGTTCTTGGCATGCACACAGGTTGACCAAAAATGTTTTTGCTACTTTTAAAAAGCAAAGTGGGAGAAGTCATAGAATTTTAAACTGAGAGGATCTTAAAGCGCATTTGTACCACAGCCTCAATTTACAGAGGAGGAAACATGCCTGGTAGGTTAAAGGAGATGCCTAATGTGTTAGTCTTATCTTTCTGGCCCTCCTCTCCTGGTTGAGTACAGTGTGGATTGCATGAGATAGTTAGGGTGAATTAGGAGATTTTGCAGTTCTAGTCCTTGCTTCAAGCTATTTTTCTTCACATTAGAACTCTGAATTATCAGTTTCAGAAATTCCAGTTTATGAAAACATGGTTAATTTACAAGTAACAACAAGATCTGAACAAATTATTATTGTTTTCCATGTTGCTTTCCACCCGTGATGGGAAGGCAAGGTAGTATAGGATAGCTTATTCCCACTGTCCATAAAAGTGGGTATCTTTGGGCCGAGCCCGTGAGAGTGCGGCGCTGGGAGCGCTGCAGCGCTCCCGCCGCGGGTTCGGATCCTATATAGGGATGATCGGTGCGCTCACAGCGCTCACTGGCTGAGCGCGGTGCGGCCGGTCTCAAAAAAAGAAAAAAAAAAAAAAAAAAGTGGGTATCTTTGCTTGCAACTCAGATTTGTGTATGAGAGTGACAGCGGCATTAATACTCGTAACTGAGGCCTACTTGCATGTCTTTGTAGGTTCCCTGTAACGGCTTCAGTGACATTGAGAACCTTGAGGGACCAGAGATATTTTTTGAGGATGAACTGGTGTGTATCCTCAACATGGAAGGAAGGTAAGCCACACATAGCTTTAGCAGGGATTTTTTGTTTATTTTAATAATAACCCCAGAATAAATTGCTGTGATTTGTATGTGGCTGAACTGTGGAATGTGTGTTTCCAATATTTTATGTCTTGCTAGTCATAGTTATAGTTTTGAAAAGTTCTGTGAATATCAGGTAAATACACCAAGACAATTGATATATAAAGAAGCCTTGCAAAAATCCTTTTGGAAAGAAAAAGGAATTAATTATTAGCCCAATTACGGGTCAAACACTGTGCTCTAGGCACTTGTATCTATTATATCATTTAGAAACCTCCTGGTAATACAAATTATGTTTCCTTTATTATCACCTCTCCACCTACCACTACCAAATTTGCCAATGGCATGTCTTATTTTAATGGATGCTTTTTTTTTAATATAATTTCTAAATTTTGGTACAAAATAGTCTTTCTTTGGTCTTGAATATTGTAGATATTTGGTTGAACCTTCCTTTTATCTCCCAGTCAACAGACTGTTACATATGTACTCTCCTGATTAAGAAGAGTCCATTATCTCTTGGTTGTTGCTTAAAATTTTTTATGCCTTATATTTTCTGCTATAAAGGTTAATTTCCAGTTTACCTGAAAGATGACTTGGCTTCCAGCCTAACTTTCCTGTGGAACAGATTATCTCCTCTAAAAGTTCTGAAAACATTGCTAGTGATGGAAGATTAGAATGCTAATTTGGTATCTTCCCTAAGAAAAATCATTGTGAACTATCTGACAAATAAGGCATAAAATATTTTTGTTGTTTTTAAGGGAATTTAGGAGAGAGAAGTATCTATCAGTGGAACAACTGTGGGGAGAGGTAAGATGTGTCACTATTCTAGGCCTTGGATGAGTTCAGATGCAGAGGTCATTTTTCTGTTTCTATTTTGGTTTATCTATAAATGAATTGAAGTATGATCTAATAGTCAGTATTGTGCAGCCTTAAAAATAAAAGCTGACCTGTGTTTTTTACACATGTACATATATACTTTTATATACATAAGTGTGATCTGATAACATACTTTATTGGTTGTTTTAGTTTGATGTTTAGTGCAGACTTTGTTTTTTCTTATTTATGCTGTTTCCTTCTTCCCCTCTACTCCCTCCACTTGGATTGGCCTTCCCTGCCCCCACCCCATAATTCTTAGTAACAACCTAGGTTGTATTCTTCCATGCTCATAGGGATACACATGGGGGAGTAGGGAGGAGAATCATTATTTCATAAAATATCTTTTTTTCCCTCATTCAGCATTACCTTATGGAAATCTGTCCTAATCAACTGGTAAAAGATAGAATTTGCTTTTGTTAATGGCTACCTATTTTGTAGTATGTACGGTAATTTATTCATCCATTCCCCTATTCATGGGCAACAATTTTCTTCTCCATTTTGTCATTGTGAAGAGTGATGTTTCTGCCGGTTTCATTTCTAAGCAATAGATTCATGGAAATGGGTTTTCTAGGTCAGACTATAGAATATTATTGAAAAACATAAAATAAGAGATAGCGTGCCCTTGAATGGGAGGATTTACTATATCAGAAATTTCACCTCTCTCAAAATTAATATATAAACCTAGTGCAATTCTAATTAGTATCCAAACAAGGTTTTGGGAGAGGGGAGGTTTTTGTTTAGTTTTGTCATAATATTGTCATAAAATATGTACAGAAGAATAAATTCACAAGAAGAGCCAGAAGAAAACATTTTTTAAAACTTCATTTTATTTAATTTTTTAAATTTTTTTAATTTTTATATTTTTTAAAAGATGACCAGTAAGGGGATCTCAACCCTTGACTTGGTGTTGTCAGCACCGGGCTCTCTGAAGTGAGCTAACCAGCCATCCCTATATAGGGATCCGAACCCGTGGCCTTGGTGTTATCAGCACCACACTCTCCCAAGTGAGCCATGGGCTGGCCCTAGAAGAAAACATTTTTAAATAATAAAAATGGGAAACTTATATCACTAGTTATTAAAACACATTGTAAAACTGCTTGTAATAAAAAAATACAGTGTTTAAATAAAAAATAGCACGTCAGTAGCAAAGGATAATTTAGAAACATGTCCCAGAATAAAAGATAATATATTTAAACTTTTAGGGGAAAAAAATAGATTTATTAAATGGTACTGGATGTAACTGAGTATTCTCATCTGAAAGAAAGTAAAACTTGCATCATGTACAAAAAATAAATTCCAAAAGATTAAACAACTGAAATTTTAAAGTGATCACTGTGAAAATCCCTCAAGAAAATAGGAGTCCTTGTGTACAATCTAGGGAAACCTCTTTAACCAAGATTGATAATACATACAGAGCAATAAAAGAAAACGGGTGATTTTGTGATTTAAAAAAAAAGTCTTCTGTATGACCAAAGAAACCATAAACAAAGTCAATAGAATGCTTATGAATTTCCAAAAACAAACTGAAAAATAGCCAATGAATAGGAGGACAAGATTCACAGAAGATCAAATCCAAGCAGCTGACAGTCATGTAAAAAACCTTTAACTTCACTATTCAAAGAAATCTTAAATAAAATAACAATGGAATGCTTGATCTTTGACTTATCAGATTGGGAAAAAAGGCTGAAAATATATCAACAGGAAAAATGTATATTGTTACAATCCTTTTAGAAATAAATGATCATAACTATATTACCCCTTGTCTTAACATGTATATTTTGAGACTAAAATAGGTTGTTTTGAAATGACAGGGAATACTCCACATTTTAAAATATCTCGGGATGCCAGTTTTCATGGGGAACCCTGTTTGTATTCATTGGGGTCTGGCAAATGCTTGTTGTTTGGATATGGAATGCATAGGGTAGTTTCTGTCAGTGCAAAAGTACCAATCCCTGGATATTTGAAAACAGTTTGCATTATGGTGTTCTATGTGGTCCTTAAAAAGATTACATCCTGCAAAAATTATTTGAAACAACATATTAAAAGGGCGTAGACTGTACTTGAAAAAATTGACCCAGAGTGACCAGTACTGAAATATATTTTAGTAAAATTATTACATTTTAAAGACGGAAAAGTCCTTTGGGCATCCAAGCAAAAAAGATTAAATCACTTATAAGGATAAAGAAAGTCATGATATCATCAGACTTTCAAAAACAATGCTTTATGCCAGAGGAAAAAAAAGAGTAACATGTTTAAGGATTGAAAGAAAATGTTAGTCAAGGATTTTTATATCCAGCCAAACTGACTTCCAAATATAAAAGCTGCAGACGTACTTCTCAACTTACAAGAACTAGGGGACTTTTGAGCCCTTCCTGACAAATCTCCTAGAAAATGAGCTTCAAACAACCAAAAAACAGAGACACTGACATAAGGACTGGTGGTGAGCATTAAATATGTATTTAGTTGTAGAATTAAATCTAAATGAAGGCTGCAGGGGAGAAAATACTGCATGCGTAGTGGCCATAAGCCTTGACGGTGTAGACACAGTGCAGCTGTTTTAAAAAATAAACAGACAGTGGGGGAGAACATAGGCAAATATTTCCCTGTTTTCAATACTCATAAAAGTGATAAGAATATTGGTCTTGTTATTCTGAGGCGTGTGCGTGAGAGAGAGAGAGAAATATGGAATAAAGTGAATTAATAACTGGTGTTCTAATTCTGTCTGGTATCCTGGAGAAACATAATTCTCCTGGAATAAAGAAGATAGAGATAGAGGATTGAAGAATGTCAAAACCGTATATTTCTGAATTTGAATTAGAAGTGTCAGTATGAACTCACAAGGTGTTTTACATTTAAATATGCGTAGGGGTGTGTGTGCACACCCGTGTGTGCGAGTGTGTGTTTTTATATGTGTGTATTTACTAGCTCTGTCCATTGAAAAGGTCTAGAAACAACCAATCCAGGAGAAACAATTTTCCTTTGTATCCAGATTGTGATCTTGTTATACCATTTCCCACCAAAAGAAGCTAGGTTTTTGGAGAAATGACCGATTCTTGATCTAGTGCAGGAAATGTAAAAGGTAATCCTGGAGCATCTTGGAAGCCTGTAACCAGATAGCAAGAAAACTGACAACTCACATCAGAAGTATTCAGGGGCCAACATGTGAAGAGGCTTCCATTGGCCAAAGATGTGGTGATTTGAGCATCAGTGTGGATAATAACTGGAATGGATTGAAACACATCAGATATGTTTAGCTCTATGAGTTCATAATAATACTCAAAAACAACAACTATTTGATCACCTTTGGATAACAATAGGAACCCAAATCATTGTTTTGAAAAACTGTAAATAATAAAAGTGCCTTTTCCCGTACCCTTTTGAGGTTGATGCAGTGCTTTAAGAGGTTAACACAGAAGGGTAAAGTAAATCTCCATAAAACCCAGAGTAGACATTGTAAAACTTCTCTTTGGATCCTGTCGAGTCACAGCTGAAAAAAAAGGGAAGGAAACATAAATAAAAGGAAAGACACGAGCATTTATCCTGCCTTTCCTATATACTGTACCATTGGGGGACCAAATAGTAGATGAGGGGGAATTTTTCTTTATTCCAGCTAATATAAAAAGGAGGAATGATTGCATTAGAATATCACCACTTTGTAACCGCTAATGAATCAACAGATCCAGGCATTGAGCAATGTTAGTAGCAGTGGATGTCAGCATCATCAAAGACAGTCAGGTGTTATTGCTTCCTGCTGGAAAAAAGCACTGCCTCCTAGGAAGTCATCTTGCCAAACAAATGGCATCTGAATCTGATTGAGCCCCTACATCCAATTTACAGTAAATTCAGAAGACAGAATATGTTAACCATAGGTGCAGTCATTAAATTCCAGACTATAGGAAACTACAGGTCAAACATCCCATTTCTTCAACAAATAAAATGCAGGGGGAAAAAGGATGGAGGGGGATCCTGTAGATTAAGAGATTTAAAAGACATCAAAATAGATTAGGAATGCACATTTGCTGGTAATACTACAGAGAAAACCAGGGAAGTGTGTAGAGGTGTGGATTGTGATTATTGTTGAGGGGGAGGAGGGGACCCATGTAGAGCTTCTGGGGCATCTGCAAAATTCTAGTTCTTGGCCTGAGCAGTGGATACAAGAGTGCTTACCTAGTAATGATTCATCAAGCTACTCATTTGTTACGATTTTGCAGATTGATATATTGTACGACTCAAAGGTTAAAAAGCAGGTAAGACAGTTCTGCTGATTTTCATTTACCTCCCTTAAGATCAGTGATTCCTTTGTTTCTTCATGAAGTCAGCCAGATAAGTTAGTCACTGTCTTTCTCCTACTTATAATCCCCATGTATATTTGTGAGATCGAGTAAAGAATTTTATTTACTCAACCAGATTAATTGAGCATCTACTGTGTGCCAGACACTATTCTACGCTCTGGGGATACAGCTGTGAACAACACACACAAAACACCCTGCCTTTGTGGAGCTTATGCTGTAGAGAGGGATATGGATGCTAAAAGTTAAGTGAAACATTACATTAGAAAATGAGAGGTACTATAGAGAAATATTAATCAGGGAAGAGGGCAAGGAAGTGGTATGGAGGATAGTATTTTAAATAGGGTGGGGAGAGAAGGCCTTACTCAAAGGAACATTTGAATCAAAACCTAAGAGGAGGGGAGAGAACAACCTGTAGATATCCAGAGAAAGAATATTCCAATCAGAAGGAACAAAGAGTACTCAGGTGAGCATCAGCCAGGCATGGTAAAGAAACAGCAGGGAGCCTGGGTGGCACGCCTGAGGGAGCAGCGGTAGGGGTTGAGGTAGGAAGGTAATGGGGCAAGAGTGTGAGGGACCTTTTTTGTCCTCACTAGAACTTGGGCTTTTACTTTGAGCAAGGTAGAAAACCGCTGGAGAATGGGGTAGAGGATTGTGGTGACATGGCTGAACATTTTAATTGGAGCACTCTGCAATTGAGGATTGACTATAGAGGGGCAAAGTTTGAAACAGGAAGCTCAGTTTGGAGGATGTTGCTTTCATACAGATGGAAGGTAATGGTGGTTTGGAAGAGTTAGTGGGCAGTGTTTACATTTGGGGGATATTTTGAAGATAGAGCTGTTAACATTGACTGATTGATTGTAGCTTAGGAGAAAAAGCAAGGAGTCCAGGATGATTCCCTGGAGTGACAGAGTCGCCTTTGTCTGAGATGAGGGTGACTCTGGGAGGGAAGATGGTATAAGGTGCTCACCAGCTATCCAAGTGGGGATGTAGAGTAACTGTTGGATATACTGGTCTGGAGTTGAGGGGAGAACTCTGCTTTGGAAAAGGAAATGGGGTTGTCAATGTGCATGATATCCGAGGCAATGAGACTAGATGAGCTCATCAGGGCAGTGAGTGGAAGAGAAAAACAGCAGCCTGAGGCCTGAGTGCCCTGAGACAGGTGCCGGGGACCAGCAAAGGATTCCAGATGCTGCTCCTCATCCCCAAACTCACCCAGCTCAACTCACTGTTCAGGCTGCTCTTTCCTTTCCTTTTACCAAAGATACAGGCAAGTAAATTTGAAGCCAGACAGATAACAGTTTTTCAGATTTTAGCACAACCTATATAGTATTATGTTACAAATGCAATCTTTTTCCATGATAATGTGCTGTAAGATCATGAACCAATTATAATTTTCTTGTCAAGTAGATTACATGGTATGATTAGTATGAAGTAAAAAATAGGTAATTGAAAAAAGTTTTAAAATCTTAATTCTTAGTGACTGTTATTTTTTCCAGAAAAGCTTTGACCTGGAAATACTATGCAAAAAAAATTCTTTACTACCTACGGCAACAGAAAATTTTAAATAATCTTAAGGCTTTTCTTCAGCAGCCTGATGACTATGAATCATATCTTGAAGGTGAGTCTTTTGCCATACCTGTGGGCAGTGGGATTTCAATGGGGAGCTGAGTAGTCTTTAGGAGCAGCATTGGAAATGTCCCTGGTGGTAAAGAAGGGATTATATGATCTGACCAGAGAGGTAAATGAAACAATTAAATTTAGAGCTAAGATTTTGTCAAAATCTTTAGCCGTCAGCTAAAGAGAGAGTGTTTGGTTTTTTTCAAGATGACCAGTAAGGGGATCTTAAGCCTTGACTTGGTGTTGTCAGCACCACAATATCCCAAGTGAGCTAACCGGCCATCCCTATATAGGGATCTGAACCTGTGGCCTTGGTGTTAGCACCACACTCTCCCAAGTGAGCCATGGGCCGGCCCAAGAGAGAGTGTTTTCTAAAGATCCGTCATTGGTTCAAAGTGCAAGATTGATATTTTAGCTAGTGAGGTGAATACCCTGTTAATCTAAGCTTTAAAGATTCATTTCCAAATCAGAAATAAATGTATCCACTTGTGTCTCCATTTGATCTTGAGCAAATCCCTTAACCTCTCTGGTTGGAGCTTATTGAGGGACAAAATGTTCTTGTGCATCAGTGAGCCTGCCCGACCATAATGAGAAGTGAAGAGAAGGAAGTCCAGTGGACAGGCGAGATGAAGGGAGTAACTGTTTGTTCTTACTAAGTTGAATGTGAACAAAATGTGATTTCATTTTTTAAAAACCACTTTTAATTCCTAGAATATTACACAAACACTCCCATAAATTATGGTTGTGAAATACAGATATGACTGTCTGTTCACTTTCATTCCCTACTGGTGATTTACCCAATTTAATTTTTTTTCCTTCCCAGTGTTTCTCATATTCATGTCCCCATTCTGTTGCTGTTCTCATGGGGTTATCACCACCTCTCCCAGCAACAGCTTTTTAAGTATCACTTGCTTTCATGAGCATCACCCTCTCCTGCCCTCAAGTCTGTCAGTCTGTCGGTGCCAGACCATTCTGAAACCCTGCCTTTTCACCTCTCTATGTGAAACCTGCAATATGGACAACTGATTTCTTTTTTAAAATCTCTGTCTGCTTTCCAGTACCCTCCATAGTCTGATCCTCCCCCTAATTCCAAACCTTTCCCCAGAGAATGTCCCATTTGCTCCAGCCAGTCCATTGTCCTGACTGGTGCCGTGCAAATGCACCTGGCTTTACTCCCTCATTCACGGTACACCTCTTTCTTACAACTCTCTTGGAAATACTACTCACTCTGCAAAGTTCAGCTCAGTTCTCACTTCCATCAAATTTCCACTGACTAAATGCAGATTTTACTTGCCTCAAAACTACCGCAGTAACATTTAATAGTAAACTGTGTTGCGTCCTTCTGTTTCCTGTGTATATATTTTGTTTCTCCAACTAGTCACTAACTTTCATATGATCCAGGTCCTTGTGTTAGGATCACTGTGTGCCCCACAGTGCCTACTGCAGATGCTTGTTGATTGTATCAAAGTCTGATATCATCCAAAAGGAAATGAAAAATCTGTTTTAGTTGATGGAAATAAAATATCCTCACCCCCCTGGAATCTTCTCATATGTGTCTTGGAGTTAAGAGTCATCCTGTCTTCTGTTTATTTCACAGTTAAGAATAGCGAGACAAGCTTAATTTTCGGTAGCTTATGTATGAAAAATACCTTTACATCTTCCGCATATAACATAATTTTCAAATAACCCATCCGAATCAGTGGTGTAGGCATTGGGAAGCCATGGAAGGTTTTTAAGTAGTTGAGTGAATGGAAGCTGGCTCCAGGGTTTTGATCCTTGGTTACTGATTACAATAATTTTGATGCCATTGGCAAAGTCAGAATCATAGCGTTAGGGTAGAATGGAGTTTGGAGAAATGCAGCATAAATTCCTTCTGCCTACAGGTAGGGATGCTCAGTCCCTTGCTAGTGGCAACACTGGGACTAGGTCCATGTCTCTTGATGTCCATTTACCTGCTTTCAGTTCCTTGGGGAATTGGTTGGGATGTCAAGATCGTGAGCTGGTTTGAGATCTCTTGAATTTAAGATGGCTCTAGGGCTTCCCAAGTGAAAATATGCTATAAAACCAAATGATGAGGTTAGCTTTTCAGTTTCTGGTTAAAAAATTACCTAAGGCTGGGAAGAGTGGTGATTTTTAAGAGACATTGTCTCCAGTGTGCTCTGTAAAACTTTTTAGCTGCGGGTTCCCTGAACGTAACTGTTTATCTAATTTGAAAGTAGGGTTATCTCATAAGTCCATTTACTGTTCATCCTTGAGAGGTGTAATTAGTTGAAATGGCATAACTGTCATTGAGGGCTTTCAATTTTTTTTTTTTTTTTAAATAAAGGAACTGTCTTATACTGTTTTCAGAGCTATTGTGTTTTGATCCTATAAGAGTAGAGAGGGAGAGAGAAGTAGCTTGAAAAGATCTCCTTTCTAGCATTTATTTCTCTTTGTACTAGAACATGCCACATATTGCAGTTTTCTGAGTCCACGACTTCTCAGAGAGGTTTGGTTTACTAAAAAAAAATAGAGTGAAGTGTAAGCTCCTTTGTTATGAAAATGTGCGTTTCTCCTTCTCAATGCCTTGGCAGCAAGGCCTGGCATCCAAGATATGAAGCTTATCTAGTGGGATGGTGTGAAAAGCCGCGGCCCAGGATATCTGGGGTAAAATGACAAACTAATAAGAACTGGGTAAAAGTAAGTATTTATTCAGTAATTCTTGTTCATTTTCAGGTGCTGTATATATTGACCAGTACTGCAATCCTCTTTCTGACATCAGCCTCAAAGACATCCAGGCCCAGATTGACAGCATTGTAGAGCTTGTTTGCAAAACCCTCCGAGGCATAAATAGTCGCCATCCCAGCTTGGCCTTCAAGGCAGGTGTGGAATTGCTTTGTATCCAGCTGTATTTGCAAAAGAAAACCTAGAGGAGTTGGGTGATTTGGGAAGTTCAGCAGTGTGCTCCCATTATATCATGAAAAAGTGATAAAAGGCATGACCACATGTGTACATGGATAATGTAAAAGACTTTTTAGTGCACATTCTCTTCTGCTGCCTAGATTGGCAACACCTGATTAATATTGTTAGGCCATTGCCAATGTCTGCGTGTTAGGGATTGTTTGGGGGCCCTGGTCATGACCTTATTTGTGCTTGTGTACCAGAGTAGATCTCTGTGTTTCAGGTGAATCCTCCATGATAATGGAGATAGAACTCCAGAGCCAGGTGCTGGATGCCATGAACTATGTCCTTTACGACCAACTGAAGTTCAAGGGGAATCGAATGGATTACTATAATGCCCTAAACTTATACATGCACCAGGTAAATACGGTAATAGTAAAAATATACGTATGTATCTATTTTTAAGCTCATCTCTGATAGACTGTACATTTCTTGAGAGCAAGCATTATGTCTTTCCTATCTCTGAATGCTCAGTGAAACTCATTTTTCCCTCTACTATAAGGATATTGCTGTGGATTTTACCTGTTTCTTCATGGAGTGTCCTCTGCGTACAAACTCTTGAGATAAATTTGGACTAGAAATATTTAGCTAACTCAGTTTGGTCAGTTTGTATCTTGTGAACACTAAACTGTGAAACTAACCAGGGCTCTCTTTTTGCATTGTCCTCTAGGGAGATTGGAGGAAACCTGTGGGCCAGCTGCATCATGTCTTTGATATTTACATTTTAGTTGCTTCCTGCTTGGCTCCATTTTCACATTTATTCTGTTGCTGTGTCTGCTAGTTTCATTTTATTTTTTCATATCTTAGCACACTTTTCCTTGAAATCGTTTTAAATTCTTTCTGGAAGGAAGGTTTAAATCAGAAGTTGGTCAGCAAACTTTCAGTAAAAGGCCGGGCAGTAAATTATTTTAGCTTTGCAGTCAGATATGCCATTGTAGAGAGGCACAGACAATACAAAAAGAAATGAGTATGACTGCGTTCCAACAAAACTTTATATATGGACATTGAAATTTGGATTTCATATAATTTTCATATGTCACAAAATAGTGTTTTGTTTTCTCAAACATTAAAATCTCTAAAGACTTCATTCACACAGGCTGTACAAATATAGATGGTGGACTGGATTTGGTCCATGGGCGTAGTTTACCAACCCCCGACCTAAATAAATAAAAGATTCATCCACTTATGCCTCAAAAACTAGTATCATGCCTAATGCATAGCAGGTACCTAATAAAAATGTTTTTTGGTTTTTTTTTTTTCCTTTTTTTTTTGTCTTTTTTCGTGACCGGCAACGGATCGCAACCCTCAGTGTCGCGCCCGTACCGGACTGGGACCGGCAACGGGATCGCAACCCTCGGTGTTGCTCCCGCACCTCGCTCAGCCAGTGAGCGGCCAGTCTGTATGTGGGATCCGAACCCTTGGCGGGAGTGCCGCCGCGCTCCCAAGCGGCGCACTGTAGCAGTGCACCACCGGGCTGGCCCCTAAAAATGTTTTTTGAAAGAATGAGAATATATAGTTCATCTCGGTGTACTGAAAGCATATTTTCTCCTTTAGGTTTTGATCCGCAGAACAGGAATCCCAATCAGTATGTCTCTTCTCTATTTGACAATTGCCCGGCAGTTGGGAGTCCCACTGGAACCTGTCAACTTCCCAAGTCACTTCTTATTAAGGTGGTGCCAAGGCGCAGAAGGGTAAGTCATCTGTGACACATTGTAATTGGTCCTGAAGGTTCAGGCCCTCTGTGCTGAGAGGAAGCCCGGTTTTCAAAGTTAAATTAGGTGTAACCAAACGGGTTAAAAACAGGAGGAGGGTGGTAGTGGAGCTGTTTTGTGTGCTTGACTGCCTTAGTGTTAGTGTTCTAGCCTTGTTATTGGACTATAGTCACACAAGATGTTGCCATCCGGGGAGACTGGGTGAAGGGTACTCTTGATCTTTTTGTATTTCTTACAACTGCATGTATGAATCTATAATTATCTCAAAATAAAAAGTTTAATATTAAAGAAAATAAGACTGGGACTTCAAGATCTCATATGGCTGTCAGAGTCCCTTTGTTCCAAAGCAAATCAGATAAAAAGAGTTCTTAATGAAACTCTTACTTTCCATTCTTTTATAAAATCTGCTCCCCTCTCCCACATGAATGCGTGTGGGGGGTGGAGGGAAGGAGAACAGGGTAGCCAAGTTCCCCTTTAGGCAAGGTTAGTGACTGATGTTAACTTTAGAGACCAGGCTAATGAGTTCTGCTTTGTTCTGTTTTTTAAACTTGGTGTCCTAATGGGCAAAAAGCTCCTTTTCAGTTATAGTTTAGCTTTTCTGAAAGAAATAGCTCATCAAATAGGTAGAAATATCTTATCATTAAATCTGCCATTTAAAGGAAAAGAAAACAAGTTACTTAAGTATATCCTGTTCTTTAAAACTACTTCTTAATGATTAACTATGATACCCTTTGGTGAATTTATGAACAGTATAATAGAAAATACCTGAGCTTTGGATTCAGACTCGGTTCAACCCTTCACTTCTTCTGAGCCTCAGTTTCTTCCTCCGTAAAATGGGGTTAAAATGGTTTGGAAGATTAAATGAGATAACCCAATGATTTACACACCTAGTAGAGGTTCTGATGCTACATAGAAAAAAAAGTACAGTTGGTCTCTGTAGGCTTGCCTCCTGGTTGAAGAAATTAAACATTATATATGTAGTAGAAGCCTCCCGGGTATTCTTTCTCCTCTCCTCTCCAGAGGTAACTACCAGGTAGTTTGAAAGTGTTTGTTATTGCAGTGAACATTTTATAGTTCATTATGTGTGTGTGTTTCCTTAAATAACTATAGTCTTTCCTTGTTTTCCAAATATACGTTCCTAAAATTGTACTGGATAGTTTAATTTTTGGATAGTGGGCACCCATTTTCCATTATTTTAAATGGGAAAAATTATTTTTCAGCCCATTCTTTCTCCCCAAATAACCCAACCAATCTCCCCAAATATCTTTAAAATATTCTTAAATGCCTATATAATAATCCACCAAGGATTTCTACATAATATAAAGCATTTAAAACACTGATTACCATATTATTTACCACAGTAACTTATTACATGGTGTGCAATAACAGTTATCATTTTCCATTCTTAGGCTATGATGAACATGTATTATGATACGAATGAACAATGGAATAATTTGTTACTTCCCCCCAGCCATGTGGCATAAACAAGCACCTAGACCCATAGACCCATAAAGGACTCAAGCAGCAGGGAGAGTGCACAGCGTGTGACCCAGCAGCTGGGCTGCGGCCGCCTGCCCCCTTGCTCTGGACTCCTTTCAGCTCTCTGCCTTCACTCTCATCTCTGCTGTTCCTGCACAAAGACTGCATTGTCTCAAGTAGTGTAACTTTGTAATTAGCCACGGTACCTGGTAGGATGAAACCCCCATCAAACTCTTCAAAACTGCCTTGGCTCTTCTTAGCTTTTGCTCTTCCATATAGATTAGAATCAGTTTATCAGATTCCTTAAAAACCCTGTCTGTATATTGATTGGAACCAGAGGTTAGTTTGGATGAGATTTCTAGATTATTATGGAAAATATTGCCAGTGTTTCTCTTTTGAGTCTTTCCATGTATGAACACGGTCCCTTCCATTTATTTAGGTCTCCTTTAATGTTCTTAAAAAGACTTTATGCTTTTCTTCATCGAGCTCTTTGACTTCTCGTTAGGTTTATTCTAAAAGGTGCCTTACAGTTTTTTGCTATTATGAATGGCAGTTTTTAAAATTACATTTTCTAAGTATTGATTGGTATACAGGGATGTGGTTGATATTTAGATATAAGTCTGATAGTGTCTTTGCTAAATAAATTATTAGTGCTAATAATTTGTCAGCTTTTGGCTTTTCTATGTAGATAACCTTGTTGTCTGTGAATAGTGGCAGTTTTATTCCTTCTTTTTTTCTAGCCCTTATATATATATTTGTTTCTTTTTCTTATCTTACTCTGCTGGCTAGATGGCCTTAGAACAAAGTTGAAACAATGTTAGCAAGCACCCTTAACTTGGGTATGACTTGCTTTTAAGATTTCACAGTCAAGCATGATGGTTGGGGACAATTCCTTTGGTTCAGATTATCAGAACTACCTTCTAAATTCCTAGTTTTCTAAGCGTGTTATTAATAACTAAGTATTTGGGGTTTTTTTTTTCAAAATTATTTTGAATAGACATCTATTTGTGTGACCATATGGTTTTTTTCTTTTAGTCTGTTATGTGCAGAAATTGATTTTTAAATGTTCAACTCTCCTTTCATTCTTGGGATACATCTAACTTAATCATAAATTTTTATGATACATTAAATACATTGCTACATTTGATTTGCTCATATTTTATACAGGATTTTTGCATTTATGCTTATAAATGATCTTGCCCTATAAATTTTTGTGTTTGTCCTTAGGAGGTTCTAGCCTTATAAAAAGAGTTGAAGAGTTCCTTGTTTCTAGAACTTTTATATAAATCTTATATCCATGCTGAAGGTGGGCTATAAATATGACTCAAGGAAAAAATCCTACTGGACCTGTTAGCAGGCAAAGAGAAAATCCATTGTATGATTTGCACTAGGCATAAGATCAAGATGAAACAATTGTTCAAGAGAAATAGGTATCCCTGACACAAAGAGCACGTAAATCCCTCCATGAGCCCTTCTAGAGAGTGTACTTGGCAGTGCAGTGAGAACTCGTGTCCTGTGACCGCAGCTCACCCACTCTACTCAGTGTGGGCCAGCCGCAGTGTACAAGAGCATGGCTCACAGAAGGCAGTTCTGCATAGGAAGCCATGTGATCATGTCCGAGTGCACAGCTCTGTCCTCTAGGACAGGATTCCCAGTCTGAAGCCAGGATGGACTCAGCAGGTCTCTGACCTCCCGAGCCTGTAGCACAACTGAGGGCTGACTCCTGCTGGTGTGAAGTGCCATAACTTTCATCAGATCCTCCAGGGCCCAGGATCCACAGGCTGTTGCTCCTGCTAATCTTGTGGGATTAATGGACTGCCTTGGCATTCCATAAATCTTTCTCCCAGCCGAACTCTGATAGATATTCCTGGCAGTGAGTGATAAGATTAATCTTCCTAAAAAGCTCTATTAGATGGCGTACATTACTGCTGTTTCTTAAATATCAGTGGACTGTGGTCTTGATACAGCAGAGCTTAATGAATAAGGCCTTGATATTATAAGTAGAAATGTTACTGTTTTATTCATCCTCTGATGTGAGTTACTTATTGTGGGGTTTTAAAGTATTGAATTGTTCTGCTCTCACATGAGATTTGGCTCTTTGTTTAGAGCGACCCTGGACATCTTCGACTACATCTACATAGATGCTTTTGGGAAAGGCAAGCAGCTGACGGTGAAAGAATGTGAATACTTGATCGGCCAGCACGTGACTGCAGCACTGTATGGGGTGGTCAATGTCAAGAAGGTGTTACAGAGAATGGTGGGAAACCTGTTAAGCCTGGGGAAACGGTAAGGTTTCCTTGGTTTTCTACTATTTCTGCAGAGCGCATGTCTTTAAAGGCTTGAATTATCTTACTTAATGAACCTACCTGTAATATAGCAAAACAGTGGATGTGATGTCTGCTGCTGTCTATCCACCATGGAGAATAACTAGTTCCTGTGATGATGCTATACAGAGTTGAAATATGCTAAGTGACTTTTCTTTGACATCTTTGCAGTGGACTTCAACAAGTTCTCTTTGTAAATACTGAAGGCATTCTTCAGTAACAAAAATATCTTAGACTGGCAAAGATTATTATCAGAGGCAAGATGTTCTCATGTCCAAGTGCTTTGCCATCTTTTAATTTATGCTATCACTTAGGAAAATAAACAGAAGTCTGAAATTATAGTGCTTCTGAGTCCAAGGAAATTTGTCCTACAGGGAAAATAGAAAGTTGTAGATTGTATGTTATAGTAATAGTTTTCTTCCTGATGGCAGAATTGCTTTTTAAATATTTTTTAGGGCAGTTTTAGGTTGACAGCAAAATTAAGCAGAAAGCACAGAGTTCCCATATACCCGCCTGCTCCCATACACGCACAACTTCCACCACCATCAGCACCCACCACCAGAGTGGTACATTTGTTACGGTCATGAACCTGTTTTCACACATCATTATCACCCAAAGTCCATGGCTTACATTAGGGTTCATTCTTGGTATATATTCTGCTTGTGGTTTGGACAAATACATAATGACATGTATCCACCATTGTAATATCATACTGAATGTTTTCACTGCCCCCCAAAATTCTCTGTACTCTGTTTAGAATTCATCTTTAGTTATATACAGTGTTACTGAGATGACTACTTAATAAAAATGCTTATGATTTTAATTAAGTGCTTATCACCAAAGTGGACTATAAGATTTGTATTTATTATGTATTTATTTTGTTAAGAGCATTGTTAACTTTTTGCTGGACAGAGAGGAAATATCAGGATCAGAAAACTAATTAGGGATTTATGTTAATTATTTTTAAAACCTGGGCCTTGAAAACGAGGGGCTTAGCTAAGAAGCAAACAGGGTAAGACAAAAATTATTTCTCCTCTGGCAGAGAAGGCATTGACCAGTCATACCAGCTCCTGAGGGACTCGTTGGATCTGTATCTGGCAATGTACCCGGACCAGGTGCAGCTTCTCCTCCTCCAAGCCAGGCTTTACTTCCACCTGGGAATTTGGCCAGAGAAGGTAATTATTTTACTTTGATGCTTTGCACTTACCTTAGAGAGGGAAGACTTAAATTAAAAGACGGCTGTTAAACACAAATGTATTCAAAGTCTCCTGGTCTTGACTCACCAATTATGTTTTTTTGGTCTCCATTCTAAGGAAAGTTAGTTCTATTGCCAGGAATTGCCTATTCTCTCTGTGGTGAGACCCTTTAAATCCCAGAACCACAAAGCCTCTGCCCCTGGCATCACCCACCGATGGCCCAAGATGTGTTTTCCCCAAGTCATCCTCACTCAGCAAGGGGAAGAAAAACTGTAAACGGTCAATCTCCAACCATGCTGGTAGCAGCTAAATTGACCACAGCTGAATACCCCTATTTGGCATAGGAACATTGGATCTCAGATATGTTCAGGTCCAGCCACTGAACTAGTCAAGGACTGGTTATGTCTGAAAATTGTTGAATTTTGATCCTGTTCCACTTGAATTTTCTTAGTTTTATAATGGCTCCCTTTGGCCAGCAGCAAGCACTGTCAGCAGGCGTCAGTGCTGAGATCAGAACTGCTCTTGGTGAGCTATGGAGGCAGCACACATGTAGGTGCAGCTGTGCATCACAGGGCAGGAGCCAGTCACACATCCCCATCACACCCTTGCTTCTCTCTGGGAGCATGTTAATAACCCATTTCGTGTGTTTAGAGCAGCTTGAGGAGAGAATTTAATTCTGGGCTCTCACAGGGACGTCACTGTAAACTCCTCTCCCACTGTTAGTAGAGAGGGTAAAATCTTCCTTAAGAAAGTAAATATTCTAACTGACTCTGCATTACTTAGATTTAAATTGTCTAGTTAATTCACAACTTCAAAGATCTAAAACAGCTTTAAGAAAAGACGCATCAATGGGAAAATCCCTAGGCTCCTGTCTTCAGAAAAGTTGTCATCTGTAGCCCAGATAGCAAGTGTCCTCCCAGAACATCACATAATGTGGTAGAAGAGTTATTGGAAAAGTGACTCTATCAAAGTCACCACCTACTTCGTACAGCTCTCTTACCCAGGATTTCATGGTTTCTGTTTGTGTTTTCATTTCGTTTATTTATTTTTGATACCAGGATATGCATAACTAATTCCTGTCACTTTTTGCTTTAGATTTCTTAAGGAATTTCATGATGATTTGTGAAATGCGGAGAAAAGCAAGGTTCTTTAAATGTAAATTCTGTAAATTCTGGGTCAGCCTGCGAAGTGGTACTTTTAACATGCCCTTTTGGTGATGAAGCTCTGGTGCCCTTACCTTCTACAACTTTACACCACCTACTGGGGAATTACCTCAGGACCTTCCTTTGAATGATCATGTTGGCCTTCCTGCCAAGCAGATGTCATTAAAGCAAGTTCCAGCATTTTCTTCATGGCATTTTCCAGTGGGATTGAGCCCTTGGCCGTGCCTGTCACTGGGAGATCAGGAAAGAGAAGTAGCCCATTCCCAGTGCGTCCTCGACTCCCTCCTCTTAATAAACTGATTCCCTCACCAGAGAAACGACACCTAAGACAGTGAAGGGAAACTGGGACTCCTAATGAGGAAGAATTCAGGGGATGCCAAAGTAATGAGAAAGGTTCCTGTCCAGCGCAAGGGTTCGAGGCGGACCTTGAAGAATGAGAAATAATGTGAGAGGGCAGAAGAGTAGGTTACTCCGGTAGGCAGGAACAGCCTGCGCGTTGTGCAGAGGCAGGAGAGCAGGGCATCTGCAGAGGTCAGCCTGATGCAAATGTATATGTCCGTATACACAAGTGCATATATACATGTTTGCGTGTACGTATGTGAACGTGTGCATATAAATTTTGGGGGAGAGAGGGATGAGATCAGTTCGTTGAAGGCATTGACTTTAGTAGGTAAAAGGGACATGACAGGCTGAAAAGACCTGAGTTTGCTGCCTTTTCAATGGAATTAAGTCAGGAAGAACTAAGAAATGGGAGCCTACCCAGTCATTGTCACAGTAATGCAGGGTTACCATGGCTGTGATGGGAATAAGAGAGGGCAGGATGATCAGATTTTAAATAGTCACTAAAGTAGTCACTAACACTGAACTCCTTCCTCTGTCTTCTCGGTAACTCTATGGGGTAAATACTGGGTTTATTTTTGCCATTTTACAAATAATGAAATTGAGGCACTGAGAAGTTAAGTAACTTGCCGAGTCTGCACATCCATTGTTGGCACCAGGAGTTCAATCTGGGCAAGGTGTCACCGAAACTCTCCACCCCCCCACCCCACCCCAGCCCTGCTCCATGCTGCGTCACAGGGGGCTAAATAAGGCAAGATGGTTTCTGGGGAAGCCAGCAGACAGGCACTTTCTGCTGCCTAACCTGTATCCTTATTTTGATCCTTAGTTATCCTTTCCCTCTTTCTCTACATCTCAGTGGAAAAGTGCCTCTCTAATTTTCCAAGGCAAAATCCCTTTCCATTTTTGTAAAGAAAAGCAAAACAGTTCCCTGGTATTTGCCTGTGGCCACCACCTCTTCTCCCTCCTCCCTGCACAGCTAACGTTCTCGTGCTGTACAGTGGCTGCCCACTGTACCTCCTTCTCACTCCCCGGAATGTGGGAGTCTGTTCCCACCCCTCTTCCATGGTGCTGTTCTGGCCAAGGAAGCTGATGACCCCTTTTTGCTCAAAGTGTTCTCCTTGTTGCTAAATCCCAGTAGATACTTTTCTTTCCTTATCTTTTTTGATCACTGCGGGCCACTCTCTCCTCAAAACACTCTGTTCTCTTGGCTCTGTGGTCTCTGATTCTCAGTTTCTTGCTAGTTCCCTGTCCTCTGTCTCTCCCACCGAGGTCCCAGACTAGAATATAGTTTCTAAACTTCTTTGACTCTGCCCTTTCTCTAGGTGATCTCCCCTCTTCTCCTTGCTTTAGTTACCATTTGTATGCTGACCACTCCCAAATGGTTGGTTTCCTTCCTGGACCCTCAACTCCAGACCCACATAGCCAAACATCTCCTACGCACTTACTCATGGCTCTGTCTCCCAGGCTGGTGGAAATTGGTCCATTGAAAATGCACTTCTCCAGCCTTGATTAGTGCCCAGGCCTTCTGCTTGGTCTCCTTCCCTTGACTCTGAGATCCTCTGAGCCTCATACACGGTAGCCAGAGCAATCTTAATAAAATGTCACTATGTCCCTTCACAGCGTATACTCCCTGAGGGGCTCCCCCATTGATCAAAGGTCAGACTTGTACTCTTCAGTGTGGCTTGCAGGTTTTTGGGTCTGGCCCTGCCTGTCTGCCCTTCCTGTCTCTTGCAGCTGTCCCCTGGATACTCCATGCTGCACTGTCTTGCTTTGGTCCTTTGTATGTGCTGTGTCTGCCCAGATGCCTTTGCTGATTCCTCGGCTCTGTTTGCCGGCTCCCTTCTACTGAGCCTGATTCAGCTTACACTTCTGGCTTCTCTGAAACTCCTTCTCACAAGGTCAGGTTCTCCCAGCCTGCCTTGGTTTGCCCTTCCCAGAACATTTTCTCAATCTGTGGTAGCTGCTGTTTGGTCATCCTTCTCCATTAGACCATGTGCTTTAAGGACGTGGACCACATCTTTGTTTTTCCTTACTGTAGCCATTTCCCATGCTCTTGATATAATTCCTGGCACGTGGTAGGTACTCAGATTGATTTTAATGAATATGAAATGACCAAACTTTACTAGATAAGGAGAACACTCTTAAAGAGGATATAGAGATTTTTCAACGAGAGGACAGTTCATAGCACTCTAAAAGTGGGTATCTGGAGACTAGGCCTGTTTTGAGGTAAAGTGTCCAACTGGAGGTGTGTGTGAATTTGTTCTGATCTGGAACCATTAAGTGCAGGTGTCCTGTAGCCTGTGTCAGGAGCTCCCAGCATGAGCATCAGGCAGCTGAAGTTCTAACAGTAGATGATCCCACAGGCAAGTGGATATCAAGGAAATAAGAGCCAGCAGCTTCAGAGGAAGCCTTCGGGGGACCCTGGAATTCAGATGAGAGCATAGGGGTCAGCAAACTATGGCCATTGGACAAAAGCTGCTGGTGTCATGAATAAGTTTTATTTACTTACTGTCTCTAGCTGCTTTCAAGCTAGAACAGCAGAGTTGAGTAGTTCAGCCAGAGGCTGTATGGCCCACAAAGCCTAAAATATTTACTCTCTGGCCCTTTCCAGAAAACGTTTGCCAACCTCAGGGCTAGAGGAAGAGGAGCAGTGTGGGGAGATGCCTCGTGGGTGAGAGACCCGTTATTCTAACACCTCTACCCCACAAGTTGTGCACACTGGAGATTCTAGGCCTAGAGCTTTTGGTTGGGGACAGCATGGTGCCCAGCTGTCAGCACTGTCCTTTGCAGTCACGCTAGGCCCTGTGGCACAGTATCTAGTCCATTTCTGCCCTCTCTCTTCACCCCCAACCACACATCCAGAGAAGGAGAGGGGTAACTACCTTGAAACTTTGTCTCCAAAGTTCTGATATTCAGAATGCAGGATTTCCTTTATGCCCTGAAGATTCCAAGTTCTGTCCATTTTCCTTATCTGGAGGGCAAGAACTCTGGGAAAGGAGGGGAAGCTGTGGATGTGCAATGTAGCAGAGGGCTAGTGAAAGTAACTCGGTGCAACTGCATAGGGCACACTGGATAGCCATTGTGCAAGCACAGTGAGGAGATGCTTATTGTTTAAGCAGGATGCGTTTAGCTACAAAGCATCAATGCTGCTAGTGTCCCCAGATTAAAAACACCCAACTGGAGGTGGGAAGGGGATGGATATTGGCTCTCATTCAGTACTTGTTGAAACTGGGTCTGGGATAATTAGGTCCATTTTTATGTGTTTAAAACTTTTCATAATAGTTCATTAAAATGCTCCTATTCTTACCCTCATTTGATGGTGGTTGAGACCTGGGTTGACCATGAGACCCGGGGCCATATCCTCATTCCATAACCCCATAACCTCAGGCAAGTTACTTAACTTCACTGAGCCTGATTCCTCTTCAGGAAATTGGCAGTGACTAAAGGTCATTTTTTATTTCCCTTAATCCTCCGAAGGTCGGGAAATTGCTGACCTTCAATTTGGGAAGATTAAGTGAATTAAAAAATGCGAGGGGCTTGGCACAGTGACCAGCAGAGAATTGAGTGTTCAGTAAGTATTGAGAACCTGCAGACCTCCATCTGGAAGGCAAGATTGGGTTTTGGAATAATAGTATATGTAAGGGGCATAAAACTGTAGTTTTCATAACACTTTCACAGGCCCAAAATGTATTAGGAAATAGGTAGGACAGTGATTAATCATTATTTGATAAGCAAATAAATGAATTCAAAGGTAAAAACAGTTGGTTTGACAGATCTGGGACTAAAATCAGCTTGCTTTATCCACTAAAGCAGGCTGTAGTTTAGGACTCAGTAAACTGGAAGACAAAGCTTATCAGAGACCCTGTATTCAGTGTTGTAAGCATCATGAATCCTAAGTGATTTGACAGATCTGGGACTAAAATCAGCTTGCTTTATCCACTAAAGCAGGCTGTAGTTTAGGAGTCAGTAAACTGGAAGACAAAGCTTATCAGAGACCCTGTATTCAGTGTTGTAAGCATCATGAATCCTAAGTGATTGTGTATATGTTTTTTTAAACTTTATTTGAATTTTTATTTTCTGTAGAGGCACCATTTCAGTAGAAGGAATGTAACAGTGGAGTCAGACGTTCTGCTCCTACAGCTGCTAGCTTAAGATCTGCATAGATGTGGTTTCTCCCACTGCCCACTTGAATACTGAGTTCTATTATGAGTTAAGATAATTGAAGTGACCAGCAGGAATTTTAGAACCCTGGTATGCATGGCTTCCTTCTTGAAGTATAACATCATAAACTAGATAAATTCATCTCTTTAGTGTCCTCTCTGTGACCCTTTCTGTCTTATACAGCATTGAGACAGTTGTGTCAAAATGGCCTCTTTGTCTTGATTAAAGCAGCTTAGCATTTTTTTCCCTCCCAATTCATGAGTGACAGTTAAATAGTTTCCTTAGTGTATATTTAAAAATTGGGATTCCCACAATTCCCATGCAAAGACTGTCAATGATCAAGATCCTTTTAGAGTCCACCTAATCCAAATGTGACCATAGATGGCAGAGCCTTGCCCGCTTACCCAGTGCTTATTTCAGTACACAAATTTCTGAATAATTCCTTACATTTACACTGGGGGGTGTGGTGGGCCAGCTCTCAGTATCAGAAGTGAGCTCAACTCTTGGTATCTGCAGTACTGACTTGGTGAGAGTGATGGTCACACACCTGGGCCAACAGGAGATGCTGCCCCCTTGCCGTCCTTTGTCAGGTTATGTAGGTAGGCCTAAATCCCAAGCTGCGAAAAAGAAAAGGCCTAGCTGAAAATATTATCTCCTAGTCTTTCTGTCTTGTCTTGAAGGTGCTTGACATCCTCCAGCACATCCAAACCCTAGACCCCGGGCAGCACGGGGCGGTGGGCTATCTGGTGCAGCACACGTTAGAGCACATTGAGCGCAAGAAGGAGGAGGTGGGAGTGGAGGTTAAGCTCCGTTCCGATGAGAAGCACAGAGATGTCTGCTACTCGATCGGGCTCATTATGAAGCATAAGAGGTGAGTGCAATTGCTTGTTCTGGACCACGGCATCCATTCTACATGGGACTGCGGGGGACACCGTGTGCCTGGCAAGCTGGCAGCAACACAGGTGGAGGAGTCTGTGACTCTTGAAGCAGTGGCTGTGCACCTTCAAGCAATTATTTACTCAGTGCCTGCCACAGGACAGACAGAAAGCTGAGTCATGTTTTTAACCTGTTGGTTATTTAAGCAGCGACTTACTTTCCTAAGAGATCTTCTAATGTTTTTAATGACCTTCAGATGTTTGGCCCATCTCTGTGCGGGAAGATGGAAGCAACCCTGTAAGCAAAGAGCTTTTCCTCTCATTTCTTCATTGTTCTTACTCTCTTCTCCTTTAATCTCCATCTCTTCAAATCTGAGTTGTGGACAGGGATATGTTGGCTCATAGGGTATGTGCACGGTCCATTTGCTAGACTATAAATTGTCTCCAAAGTGATTGAACTAATTTACATCCCACCAGCAGACCAGGAACCGAGAGTTCCTATTCTCGACAAGTGTTTCTGCCAGACCTTTAAAAGTGTACTTAGGCAGAAAATGGCAAATGGTGTTTAATTGTGGTTTTAATTTACATTTCCCTGATAACTAAACAGGGTGAAGTTCCTTTCATATGTTTACTAGCCATCCAGGTTTCTTTTTATTAAGCACCTCTTCATGTATTTAGCTTATTTTTATCTATTGAGTTATTCTTCCTTATTGATTTGTAGTTTTTTATTCCATGTTCTGGTCTCTGTGTGAGTATTAGTTGCAAATATCTTTTCCCAGTTCTTGGCTGGTGTTTTTAATTCTTTCATTGAAATTTTTTTTTTTTTTTTTTCTTAAACTATCTCATGGAAATTTTCAAACTTAAATGAGGGTAGTTCAAAAAGTTCACGAAATGATTCGTGTATTATCAGTTTTTTCCCACAAACTTTTTGAAGTACCCTCGTATAGAAGTAGAGAAAGATGAGTGGACAAGGTGATGTTCCCATCATCCAGCTTCAGCAGTTACCTCAATAGGGTCGATCTTCATTGTTTCATCTCCACCTTCTGTAGCCTCCTCCCTGGATTAATTGAAGCAAATACCAGATGTCATTTTATCTGGAGTTATTTCAGTATGCATGGTTAAAAGGTAAGGGCGCCTCTCTCTCTCTCTCTCTCTCTTTAAAAATACATTTACCATCCTGTTATCACATCCAAAAAAAAATAAACAATTATTTAATCTCATCAAATATCTAGTCAGAGTTCATGTTTCCCCATTTGTACTATTTTTTTTATATAGTTTGTTTGAATTGGGGCCCTTTTAGTTTCTTAATTTTAATGCTATCAAACTGGTTAATCTTTTCCTTTATGGATTCTTTTTTAGTGCCTTGTGTAAGAAATCTTTCCCTGTCTGGAGTCATGAAGATAGTTTATATTTTAGAATAACTTCCACGGCCGGCCCCATGGCTCACTCAGGAGAGTGCGGTGCTGGTGGCGCCGAGGCCGCGGGTTCGGATCCTAAATGGGGATGGCCGGTGCGCTCACTGGCTGTGCTGTGCGTGGTGCAGACTACACTGTGCCGAGGGTTGCGATCCCCTTACTGGTAAAAATAAATAAATAAATAAATAAATAAATAAATAAATAAATAAATAAATAAATAAATAACTTTCTGTGTTTCACATCTAGGTCTTTGTTTTACTAAGAGTTCATTTTGGTGTGCTGTTGTCAGGTCAGGGTCTTGATACTTTGTTTCATTTGGATGACCAGTTGTTGTCCCATCACTCTTTGCTGAAAAGTATTCTTTTCCAGAGTGCTATGTGATAATAAGAGGGGTTTATAAAGAGGGGTAGGGGTGTCCTGAAAAATGATTAAACATGGAGTAAAAGCGGGTAGATTTGTGAGAACATGAGCTTAAGAGAAGCCAAGCCATTACCTGTATATTTCATAGTTGCCGTGGCAGGGTCCCAGGAGATTGATTTGCCATTCCTCTCGTGTTAATTAGGTATGGCTATAACTGTGTGATCTATGGTTGGGACCCCACCTGCATGATGGGACACGAATGGATCCGGAACATGAACGTCCATAGCCTGCCGCATGGCCATCATCAGCCATTCTATAATGTTCTGGTGGAGGATGGTTCTTGTAGATATGCAGCCCAAGGTAAGTCGCTAGTTCTGTTTATGCCTTTGGCACACCCAGACATATTTTAAGCACACATTTGAGCACTCAGACACTGTGGGCATGGGTCATCAGTGTATCCAGAGATGCCAATTGTCCATGGCTAACCTCATTAGGACTGATATTCAGCTAAACATGGGTGGGTATGCACTGGTGCAGCCATACCAAGGGTTAGTCACACACACAAACACTCCTTCCAGGGTCTCCCCCTCCCACATCCAGGACCCTTTCCAGTGCAGCAGGCTATCTCTGGTCTGGTCACTGCCTTTGCCAGTCAAATTCCCAAAAATCCTGCCTCCTGGACCCTGCCATTGACTCCCTCCAGACAAGCAGAGGCAGCCATGCCCCTATCGGGACCACCTGCCTGGACTGGAGTGCACCCAAGTGGACACTTGGGGGAGCCACCCTCGTGCCCTCTGGGCTCGCTACACAGGCTGCTAACTATGCTTCCCTGGAGACGCCCTCGTGTGGCCACTTGTGGGTACTGTAGTCCACAGCACTGGCTCGCAGAGCACCTGAGAGCAGCGGCAACAGGTGTTTGGTAGGCGCTGGAGCCCCTGCTAGCCCCTGACAGGTGCTAGCCCTGAGCTAATCTGAGCTGGGGACTGATGGAGCCTGTGGAGGTAGGTTAGAGACAAAAATGCCTTCAGTGTGTTTCCCTTTCCTTTGTCTCTGTTGAACTTTACTTCCATTTATGAGTTTATTGTATGCCTGACTGTCAAGGCATTCGCATTAAGTTTATAAATGCTAACATAGTGCTGCCGTGTGACAGGCAGTGTTCTGGTTAACTCCATTTGAGAACCGTCATTATCACCATTCTCATCATTTTATAGATGAGGAGGCTGAAGCACATGGAAGTGATGTAAATTTCAACTTATTACAGAGTAGGAATTGAAGCCAGGCAGCTTGGCAGAGAGTCTTATCCTTAACCATGATGCTACATCTTTTCGTGTCTTGCCTAAGACATCAGGTTTGACCTAACTAAATACAAAAGTACTTCAAAAAGTTTGCGGAAAAATAGAATTGAAAGATAATACAATTCTTTCCGAACTTTTAATTACCCTCATTATACAGTGATAAATCCAATCGTAGAAATAACAGATGTATAAAAATCTCAAAAGTGTCAAAAAGGATAGAAAAAGCTTTTACGTTAATTATTGTTTGTTCATCTGAAGGTGAAGGAGGATCCTCCTTAACAGCAATATCAGGAGAAATCTGTTTATTGAGACTGCAAGTCTCAGAGATCTCTCAGTAGGGCGGGGAAGGAATAAGGGGTTTGATGTGCTCCCTGTGTCAAGTGGAGGCTGATGTTATTTAATTTGAGAAGTGATGTTATTTAATTTGAGGTGTGTCAAATTTTAAAAAATCACACTAACAATTTCTAAAAATCAACAAATGATTTGGAAATTATTGAATGATTTGCTGGACCATTTACACCACCACTAATTACTTGGTAAGCATTTTATACTATACATCACCTAGTATAAAGAATAAAGAATAAAGCACCACCACTAATTACTTGGTAAGCATTTTATACTATACATCACCTAGTATAAAGAATAAAGGAATAAAGAATAAAGGAGAATTTTTTTTTTTTTTCCTTTTTGTCTTTTTTCGTGTCTGGCAACGGATCGCAACCCTCAGTGTCGCGCCCGCACCTCGCTCAGCCAGTGAGCGGGAACCGGTCTGTATGTGGGATCCGAACCCTCGGCAGGAGCGCCACCGCGCTCCCAAGCGGCGCACTGTAGCAGTGCGCCACCGGGCCGGCCCGAGAATTTTGTTTTCATCAACACTGTGGGCCATTGTCTATAGCTTCCCCAGGTGCAATTACTGTCAATTGTATAGGGTTGGAATTAAAACTTTCAATATTTAAAACATTTGGGTTTCTAGAAACATTTATATTGACTTTAAAATGGGCTTTTTTAGAATAAGTAAAAATGGACACTTAGTTTTAGATGTTCTGAGTTTGTCCAGTGTCCATATTGAAGATTCAGGAGTTGATCTGTAATCATATCTAAGTAAACATGTAATAATACTGTAATGACTTAAAAAATTAATATGTGGTTTTACCATCTCTAAAATTGAGATTGAACTAAATGATGGTGGGTAATGTTAGCAAATTGCCTTTTTAAATTTTAGGTTTTGCAACTTAGAAAATTCGTAGAACTGAAAAGCTGCTACCATGCTGTAATCATTTCCATCTTTTCTGCTAGCAGTTCCATGGGCACTCGGTCATTGTTTCCTGAGGGTGTGTTGTATGTGGGGCTGGAGGGTTCAGAGATGAAGAGAAGCTCCTTTGCAGACATGCTCCACGTGGGACACTCCCCAGGGCTCTTCTCTTTCCGTGGGGCTTTCCTGGGCCATCTGTCACTTTCTTGGCCTCGTTAACTGTTTATATGCTGGGGATTCAAAGCCGTATCTCCACCTAAGCCCTTGGCTGGGCTGCATGCCCTCCTCTCTAACAGTCTCTGAGCACCTGCACTTGGAGGGCTCTCAGGGGTTCTTCCGGCATGTCTCCAGTGTTCTTAACCCCAAACTCTGCATGCTGCCGCCACCCCAAGCTGCTCCTGCACGTCCCATCTCACTGAATGGCCCTACACAGGGCAGTCTCTTACTTCTGTATGTCCGTACCTTCCTCATACATCCAGCCAGTGCAACATCATGCCGCCTCTGTCTCCTGCCTATCTTGTGGTTCCACTGCTGTAGTCCTGCCCTCTACTTGCCACGAGCATTTCTTGCCTATGTTACTGCACCATTTCCTTACTGGCATCTGCCTCAGTCTGCCCCCTGCGGAGGGTCTTCCCAGGACATAGCTTGGACCAGGTCTGTCAGTGCTTAAGCTAACCGTCAGGAGTTTGTACTTAGCAGTCCAGACTGCTTTAGGAGCCTGAGGCCTCTAGACCCTCCCATATAATCTCTGTTCCTGCCCCCATCATACTCCAGTTGGGTCAAACATTTTGTTCCTTGAAGCTGCCCCTCTTGCTGGCCTTCAGGTTTTCACGCAGGTGGCTGCCCCACACAGATGGCTCTGTCCCCCTCAACTGCTTCAGGTGCTGTTTAATGTCATTTCCATCCAGAAGCTTTGCTCACCTCTGCCCCTCCCTGGCTACCCTCAGATCAGGTCACTCATCCCTGCTCTGCACTGCCCTGAGTGCCCTGTCCTTGTCAGCCCCTCCCCCTCACCCATCATGAGCTGTGTGTGCAGTGACGGAGTCTGCCCTGTTCACTCAGAGAATGTACCTGCTCCTTGGATCATTCTGCATCCCTATGAGACACTTACACTAGGCTGGGAGGAGGCCCAGAGGGAGAGGCAGCCTATGAACAGAAGTGCAAGACAGAGACATGAGAGGCAGAGTGTAGGAAAGAGAGGCTAATTTCTTCCTTATTACAACTTTGGAGTAAGGGCATTTTCAAACATATGAAACAGTTAAAAGAATATATCGAATACTCCTTTTGCCCTCCAGTAGAGTCAGCAGTTCAGTTACCATATTTGTTGTATCTATAGATACATATTTCAGTGTTCTGCTGCACTACTTGAAAGAGTACTGCAGATGACATGACCTAAATGTATAGTCATGCATCTTCTAAGAGTAAGGGCATTTCTCTGCATTACTGCAGTTACACTGTCACACCTAACAAATAAGAACTATTTTATAATAGCTAATATTCAGTCAGGATTCAAATTTCCCAGTTGCCACAGTAACTTTAATAGGTGTTTTTAGTTGTAATTTTTTTTCTTAATTTTTATTTTTTCCTTTTATTTGTATTTATTTTATGCTGAATTTATTCTCAAGCCGTAAGTTTTTGTTTCTTCAGTTTCTTCTGGGATATCTTTTTGTTCTGTGCAACCTCCTCTTCTGGTTTAGAAACAGTTTCTTCCTTTTCAGTAAGGATCATCTCGATGCAGCAGGGGGAGCTCATGTGTGGGTGAATCCGACCGTGAGCTCTATAAGTGTGGCAGTGCGTCTTGGGTGCTTTATTCACCTGGATGTGCTCAGTGACCAGAGAATCTACATCTAAACACTTAGGTTCAGCATTACTCTCTGCATTTTTATTTTTTTTTAATTTATTTTTATTTTTTATTATTTTTTTTCCTTTTTGTCTTTTTTTCGTGACCGGCAATGGATCGCAACCCTCAGTGTCGCGCCCACACCTTGCTCAGCCAGTGAGTGGCCGGTCTGTATGTCGGATCCGAACCCTCGGCGGGAGCGTCGCCACACTCCCAAGCGGCACACTGTAGCAGTGCGCCACCGGGCCGGCCCTACTCTCTGCATTTTTAAACATGTGCACAAAACCTCAGAACTCTTTTTGGGCCACTGACCCTGTGTCCAGCCCCACTGTTTGGCCTGGGCACACCTACCAACTCCACCATTGTAATGCCTGAATGGTACATATTGCTTCAGTAAGGTGACATCCTTATGATACTTGGTGGACTTACAGATATGCATATCCTTGATGGCCTCACAGTTTCACGGGTGTTCTTAAAGTGAACACAAAGATTTGAACCTCTTGATTTGCATGATGTTGTGGGCTTTTCTGGGTCAAGCAAATAGCCAACCATTTTCAGAGATCACCTTAGGCTGCTTACTGGAAGAGTTGTAATTTTTTTAAAAATCAGGATCCAACCAGAATTCCTGTACTGCATTTGGTTATTTCTCTGTAGTCTGCCTTGTTAAAGAACAGTATCTTATTTGTCATCCTTTTTTTCCCCTTCTTCATATGACTTTGACTTTTTGAAGAATTCAGGCTGGTTGTCTTGCAAATTGTCTAACATTCTGGATTTGTCTTACTGTTTCCTTGTTTGTGTATTGCTTAGAAACTGGGAGTTAAGAATGAGGCTTGATTAGATCGGGTTAAATATTTTTTGCCAAGTGTACTTAGTATCAGATGGACGCTGTCTGCTTCACATGGCCTCTCGTCCAGAGGCCACACTGTTCAGTGTCCCTCTATTAGTGATGCTGAGTTTGGTCACTTGGCTAAGA